GCTTTTGCTGTCCCGGACAACTCAGCTGCGCTGGGCAGCTTCAGTTCTGCTGCGCTGGGCAGCTTTGGAACGCTGGATAGCAGTATTTTTCCATCAAGGGGCGCTAAAAATCAGTCCAAGGTTCATCAGGGGGAGCTAGGCAGTGACCTGGGAGCATGGGCTAATCCGATTCTCACTCGAGGCGCTGATTTGGGCCCTTAGGTGCTGATTTTTGCGCCGAAAATTCTGCTTTGCGCAATTTTGAAGGGCCAGACACCCTTCAAGCTACTGGACAACTTTGTTTTGACGAGCAACAGCAGTCAGGCACACTTCTAGGCGTTGGGCTAGACATTGCAAGTAGTAAGGAAGCTTTGGGTGCTGCTTTTGATGATCAAGCCCTTCTCCAGGTGTTGGGCGCCTTGGGTGAGCCTGGGGCTACCTCGGGAGAGCCTGTTTGTGATAACAAAAATAATGTTATTTCAAACATTAAAATATCTCACATAATTATCTGGAGAGAGAGAGAAGTAGGCTGCTTGCGCCAGAGCAAAGACAAAGTTGGAGAACTGCTCATGAGAGAGCTACACTTTTTGAGACCTAGCTTTTGGCAACCCATGAGGGAGTCTTTAAGCTTGAGGTATAAGCTGCCTGTTTGAGAACAGTGCAGAGGCCAAACTTTTTTGGCAATCCGTGAGAGAGCCGTTAAACTGGCGATAGGCTGCCTGTTTGAGAACAGTGTAGAGACTAAGTTTTTTTTTGGCGATCCCAAAGAGAGCCGCTAAACTGGAGATAGGCTGCCTGTTTGAGAACAGTGCAGATGCCAAGTTTTTTGGCGACCCGTGGGAGAGCCGCTAAACTGGCGATAGGCTGCCTGTTTGAGAACAGTACATAGACCAAATTTTTTTGGCGACCCGTGAGAGAGCCGCTAAGCTGGAGATAGGCTGCTTGATTGAGAACAGTGCAGAGGCCAAGTTTTTTTTTTGGCGATCCCAAAGAGAGCCGCTAAACTGGAGATAGGCTGCCTGTTTGAGAATAGTGCAGAAGCCAAGTTTTTTGGCGACCCGTGAGAGAGCTGCTAAATTGGCGATAGGCTGCCTGTTTGAGAACAGTGCAGAGGCCAAATTTTTTTTGGCGACCCGTGAGAGAGCCGCTAAGCTGGAGATAGGCTGCTTGATTGAGAACAGTGTAGAGTCCAAGTTTTTTGGCGACCCGTGAGAGAGCCGCTAAACTGGAGATAGGCTGCCTGTTTGAGAACAGTGCAGAGGCCAAGTTTTTTGGCGACCCCAGAGAGAGCCGCTAAACTGGAGATAGGTTGCCTGTTTGAGAACAGTGCAGAGGCAGGTCAAGTTTCTGGTGATCTGTGAGATGATTCACCTTGCCTAAACTTGTTGATTTCCTCAGCATTCATATATCTTTAAGCTTTTGTGAATAATTCTGGCATGCTCTTTGGTGGTTGCTTTATTACTGAAAAAAGGAATCTGGATGAGCAGAGGCCTCCCAGGAAGGCAGTCATGGCGACTTTGTCATTGGGTTCCTCGATTTGGAGGACTTCCTCGTTAAAACGAGTGAGGTAACTCCTTAGACTCTCATTACGATCCTATTTTATGCTGAGCAGATGGATGACAGGCTGCTGCTGGCGGCGTCCACCAATGAATTGTGTCACAAAGGATCTGCTCAGTTCGGCGAAGGAGCCTATGGAGGTCGGGGTGAGTTTGGCGAACCATTGTCGCGCTGATCCCTTCAAGGTAATTGGGAATGTCTTACACATAATTTCGTCGGGGACGCTGTGTAGTTGTATCATGGTCTTAAAAGTTTCGATGTGATCAAGTGGGTCCTTCGTACCGTCAAAGGTTTCAACGGATGACATTTTAAACTTCTTGGAAAGTGGGTAGTTCGTCACGTTAGGTACGAAGGGTGTGTTGGTTCGACTTACGAGGCAGTCCACTGTCTCGGGTCTCTGTGCTTTCATAGTGTTGAAAATGTCGTCTAGTTGATTTTGTACCTCTTTTATTTTTTCGTCTCAGTGGTTGGGAGCTCCTTTGAAATTATCTTGGAAATGGCTTCCATGCTCCATGCTCTAGTTCTCACCCTTGTCCTCTTGGAAAAGAAAGCCCCCACCATGAGAAAAGGGAGCTGGAAAAGGAGGTGGAGGTCCCCCGTGGAGAGCTCCCCTATGAAGGGCACCCAAGGGAACTCCAAAGGGGGCGCCCAAATAGGGAGCAACAAGTTTTGGAGCTGCTTGATGTGCAGGGCGTGGAGCTGCTTGATGTGCAGGGCGTGGAGCAACTTGATGTGTAGGGCGTGGAGCTCCTTGGGGTGCTCCATGTTGTGCACCTCCGTCAACAAGTTGTGGAGCTGCTTGATGTGCAAGGTGTGGAGCTCTTTTATGTCCAGGACGTGGAGCTCCTTGGGGTGCTCCATGTTGTGCACCTCCGTGGGGCCCTCCATGTTGTGCATCTCTGTGTGCTCCTCTTTGGGGTCCTCCATATTGTGCACCTCCGTCAACAAGTTGTGGAGCTGCTTGATGTGCAAGGTGTGAAGCTCTTTTATGTCCAGGACGTGGAGCTCCTTGGGGTGCTCCATGTTGTGCACCTCCGAGTGGTGCTCCTCCTTGGGGTCCTCCATGTTGTGCACCTCCGAGTGGTGCTCCTCCTTGTCTAGCAAGTATGAGTTGCAGTAACTGTTGGTTTTGAGCAACCAGTTGTTGCATGGTCTCCAACATTTGCTGGGGATTCGGAGCTAGAGTATCCGGAACAGAGTTGGTAGGCGGGGGAGCAATCTCTTCCTCTCGTGGAGGATTGTCTTCAGGTTGGTTCATGGATCGGGTAGTGATCGCCATTAGTTCAATGGATGTAATGTTCAGGAGTGAGAATTTTGTCGTTTCCCACAGACGGCACCAAACTGATGATGCACAAAAATGGTTTTGCATACCACTTGTCAGGTGTAGGTAATAAATGCAGTGAAATCAATGAAAAAATTAAAGAAGACACGATTTATAGTGGTTCGGTCAATTCGACCTACGTCCACTTTTCAATGGCTTCAGTTGCTGAGTATTTTATTAATTCAGAGGTATGGAGAATAGAGATACAAGCTTTGAGAGAATGAAGAATCAAAGAAGGAGTGGTCTCCGGTCGTCGGTCTGTCCTCTGTAAGTGTTAGTGGGGCGTGACCTTCATCTCTTTTTTTTTTGGCTTATCACAGATTGAGGCTACTTTATAGCAGCTAAGAGATCATTCTTGTGGAGATCATGACTTATTCTCAAGGCTACTTTATCGCAGCTAAGAGATCACTCTGGTGGAGATCATAACTTATCCTCAAGGCTACTTTATCGCACTAAAAGATCATTCTGGTGGAGATCATGACCTATCCTCAACGGAAGGAGGAGGTTGGGGAGCTCTTCATGAAACGTGGTCAAAACTTGGACCGTTTCCTTCGGTGGTGCAGATAAGCTTCTCATACTCTCCTCTTGATGACGTGCTAAGCAAAAAGTCTAACCGGTCTTGGACTGTCTTGGGCTTGGTAGATTCAAAATGAGGTTGGACTCTTCAACTGGAGTTGGACTTTAACACATAAATTGGACTATTTGGGCTTAACCCATCACTAAGCACGAATTACCTGACACGATGACAATCGTTAGCAGAATTTATCTGAACCCTATGAAAATTGTTAAACTTTTCACTCTTCTTTTTTTCTTTAGATTTGCATCGGTTTGTGGATTCCCTGCTAACACAAAGGTAATGTGTGAGTGCACTTGTGCCTGTGTGCGTCTATTTCTGTGTGTTTGTACGTGTGCATATGATAGAAGAGAGGGCAGAAGAAAGACAAAGAAGATTATTTAGTTTGCATAGAGTGCTACCTTTATTAAGATTCCTAACGAAATAATCGTTCTCATGTAGATAGGTAAAAGAGTCAAGCTTTATAAACAAGCAAATAAGTGTATTATTGATGGCTAATTTGGTGTATTTTTCATTAATGTGCAGCATTACATTGTCTACATGGGGCATCTTTCACACTCCGATTCAGAGTCGGTGATCACAGTAAACCGTGACATTCTAGCTTCAGTTGTTGGAAGGCATGGCACTAATCTCACACAGATCTGAGCTAACAATCGTCACTATTCAATTCAATTTCTGTTCCAATTTTTTATATAAGTCGGAGAATGCAAAACCTGAAATATATCAGTCATGCATATCGTTTTACTAGAAAGTATAAGTTATGATAAGATTCTGAAAAGGAAAAAAAAAAGTAGATATTAACTGTTTCATTTCAATGGATTTTCAGTATTGACGGAGCAAAAGAAGTGGTAATTCACCATTACACGAGAAGTTTCATGGGCTTCTCGGCTATGCTTACACCAGATCAAGCTCAAAAACTTGCAGGTCTGCCTGAGTATATGCTCCTTTCCTCTCATAATAGTTCCTGATCAACAAATGCAGTTTTAGAGAGAGAGAGAGAGACAGAAAAGAAATAGATTGATGGATATGTCAACTATCTTATGCCAGCCTTTAGTTATTCCTTATATACATAGCAATGAACAATGACCTTTTTGACAAAACGGAGGGCCAAAACATTAAGAAGGGTTAATTATAAAATGCTCCTTCAATATCGAATTTGAAACTTGACGGAGTTGATTACAACATGACCCAAACTTAGAGGCCTAATGGGCAGGCCCGTTGCCGAGGCCTATGCTTTACGCCTCCAATCATCTCAAGCCGGCGCCTTTTCTCTCCTCATTTCCATTTGGTCATACAGAATTGTCTCCTTCTAACCTTTGCTTGTTTACTTTCTTCAATCTAGTCAGTCCTGGTCAATATCACATGACTTGTTCATTTTTTTCATCCATTTTTTTCATCCGAACAACTCTTGTAATATTAAGATCCTATAACAGTCATAGTACTCATAGACAATGAAACAATTGAATATAGATAGTCTATCACACTACAAATGTGTCTATCCTAATGCTTATGATTTTGGACATATATACTGCAGAAAGCGATTCAGTTGTATCTGCGTTCAAAAGCACGATGCATGAGCTCCACACAACACATTCATGGCAATTTTTGGGAGTGGACTCTATTCAACCATATAATCAACTGGCAAGGGCTGCAAAGTCGAACATTATTGTGGGCGTCATTGACATTGGTAATAGTTCATCAATTACATCCTTTGTTGAACCTTGTTTTACCCTTATCATCCTCACTATGTTGGAAATTTAATCATTAATTGCAGGAGTTTGGCCTGAGTCCCAGAGCTTCAACGATTACGGATTAGGACCCGTGCCTGAAAAATTCAAGGGAGAATGTGTAATTGGGGATGCATTTACATTGTCTAACTGCAACAGGTAACAACATTCTATACACCACCAATAGTGGACCATATAATTATTACTTGTATAATAAACAGAGTGTCCATAAACATATAAAACACAATAACGATCATTTAGTGTTGCGATGCAGATGATTTATCTTAACCACAATAAATTTGTGTACTAACAGTTTAACGACATCAACTCTATTCTCTTACATTTTAACCACCCTTTTCATTCTAACAGTGCATTGCACAAGGTTCATAGTTATGTAGTATGTTATAAATGCAAGTTTTGACAATAAGAGTTGGACTAATGTTTTCAGGAAAATCATAGGAGCTCGATTCTACTCCAAAGGGTTTGAATTAGTAAATGGGCCTCTTGAATCTTTCAATCGTACTTTCTTTCATTCATCAAGAGATAGTGATGGGCATGGAGCTCACATTGCCTCAACAGTGGCCGGATCACTGGTTGCTAACACCAGCTTATTTGGGATAGGAGGTGGTTCAGCAAGAGGGGGTGCACCAAGTGCTAGACTTGCCATCTACAAGGCTTGTTGGTTTGAGTTGTGCAATGATGCTGATGTTCTTTCTGCCTTCGACGATGCTATTAATGATGGTGTTGACATTCTTTCTCTTTCCTTCGGCCCAATGCCTCCCCAACCTAGTTTCTTCCAAGAAGTAAATTCAATAGGTCGTTTCCATGCATTTCAGAAAGGAATTCTTGTTTCTGCATCTGCTAGGAATTCCTTTTTACTGCGTACTGCATGTAACGTTGCTCCATGGATCCTTACCATTGGTGAAAGCACTATGGACCGCAAACTCTAGTCCAACACATACCTTGGAAATTCCAAAATCATAAAGGTGATGTTTTCATATATGTTCCCCGCCCACCTGCATTGACACTACAAGAAAATTGTATTTTACTACTAAGTTTTGGCAATGAACAGTAAAATTTGTCTTAAAAATGTAATTTTTGACAACAATTAGAAAACTTGATAAATTTTTTGGAGACTTTTTTTTTCAATTGTCACTGAAAGGCTTCACAAAGAAGTTCTCGCCAACTTATATTTGGTGCCAATGGTGGTGCAAAATGATGTTTTGCACAAAAGCAGTCAATCTATAATTAGTGTGGAAATATATGGTGTTTCAGGGTTTTGGGTAAACCTTCAAAATATGGAGAACTATTATAGTTTAATAGCTGGGAGTGCTGCTGCAGCCCCTGGAATTCCCCCCAAAAATGCAAGGTATAATCTATTTTTAACCGGCTCTAAAATGGAAATATTTCGAAAATAGAATAAAAAGTCAAAAAATTCTAGAATTTTATTTTGAAACGTTGGAAGAAGGTTCTGAAAACATTATGGAATCACCAAAACTACAATAAAAATGATTGAAGCAAAATAAAATTTTGATACTTGCTTCGTTAGTTTGTAGTCAATGTACTATCAAGGATATCAAATAATATTGAAATGGATACTACCATAATTGTTAGTATTTTATGATACTACGTATTTGCGAATACGTAATACGTATTTTATGATGCATTCTAATACAATAAAAATACAATACACAAAATATCAAAACGACCTCGTTTCAAAAGACTTTTTTAACCTAAACAATGGAACAACATTGTTTCCTCGATATGTTGTTTTTATTTTTTGGTTTTACCTCAAACAAACGAAGCTATCAATCATCTAATTCTCTCAAGACCCACTTTTTGTTTTTCCTGAATCTTATTCTTAAGACAAAATCCTACCTACATTTCGATCTCTGTAGTGTAGACAAATGATTGTTTATCTTTTGATCTCGATTTGACACACAAATCACATGAAATTATAATTGAGTTGAAATGATATTTATATTACTTCAGACATAATATTTTTATATATTTTTAGGTATGCGTATATATATGTGTATATGTCTAAACTTAAGTTGAACGTATCTTACAAGATATGGTACATTATGATATATGATATAGTTTTTTAAAATCAATACACATTCTGATATATGTTTTGTCAACCATGAATACTGCATGACAACCTCCCCCCATTTTATTCAACTACTCCCATCTTTGCCCTCAAAGAACTCCTGGGGAAAAAAAGAAGAAGAAAATGCTTGAAAGTGACTCATTTTTATGAACTTTATTTTATAGTCTTGAGATTGTTTTTCTTTTTTTTCAGCTTCTGCAAGAACAATACGCTAGATCCTACCTTAATTAAGGGGAAGATTGTGGTATGCACAACTGAGTTGCTTACTGACATACGCGCAGAAAAGGCCATTTTTGTGAAACAAGGTATTGGTGTTGGGATGATACTCATTGATCCAGTAGCCAAAGACGTTATCTTTCAGTTTGTAATCCATGGTAGTGTTATTTATCCAGAAGCAGCAGAAGAGCTTCAGGCATATATGGCCACAGAAAAGTAGGTTCCAAAACTTCTTGCTTTCGATTTAAAAGATGTAGACATAAATATAATTGCATTGAAACTATGAGTTATAGTTCTATACCAAGGAGAATAGATAGTTCTTCAACATTATGATTCTTTGGTTATATATTTCAGGGATCCTATGGCTAAGATCTTCCCAACACAGACAATTCTATTTACCAAGCCCGCACCAAGGATGGCTGGGTTCTCTTCAATGGGTCCAAACATTATAACACCAGACATCATCAAAGTAGGTTCTGAAAGAACTAAACAATATTTGCAATTTTAATCTCAAACATGAATTTCATCAATTTCAAAATCAAGTGTCGTACCAACATTGATAGAGAGTATTTTGTGCCTGTGATGAATTTGACGAGCATCAAACTCACACAAATCCGACCTGATAGCTGCAAATTTTTTTTTTTTTTTTTGTGCAGCCTTATATTATAGCACCTGCGGTGAATATTTTGGCAACATGGTCTCCGGTAGCAACTGGAGTCACAGCTGGACGCACACTTGACTATAACATAATTTCTGGTACTTCCATGTCTTGTCCACATGTTTCTGCAGTGGCTGCTATTTTAAAGTCATGGAATCCTTCTAGGAGCCTAGCAGCAATAAAATCTGCAATAATGACAACAGGTAAGTTCTTCAACTTGATCAGATTTTTTTTTTTATGGTTAAGCGTCAATATTGTTATTGCTAGTTGTTTCTAAGATTCACATCTTATTCCTGGCAGCGACAGTCCTAGATAACACTCAAAACTTCATTAAAAGGAATCCCAATGGTGCCTCGACCACCCCTTTTGACTATGGATCCGGGCACATAAATCCAGTTGCAGCCATGGATCCAGGGCTAGTATACGATTTTGATTCGAGTGACATTGTCGATTTCCTCTGCAGCACTGGTGCAAGCTTGACACAACTAAAAAAATGTTGGGATTTAACACGATTTAAATCCACTAACAAACACACACAATCGAAGAACAAATCAAGAATATAAAGCAATAAGAAACAAGAAAGAACAAGACACAGATTTTACGTGGTTCGGCAATTTGCCTATGTCCACGAAGCTGCAGGGATTTCACTATTGAAAGAGTTAAATACAGAGAGCGGCTGTACAATACACGATTAACCCTAATCACCAAAACAACAGGGTTTATATGTCCTACGCACTGGGCTGTATAACGGGCCCAAAAAATTTTTCATTAAAAAACCACACAACTTTACTTCAGGTCGGGTCATCATCCGGATCACATATACAAACTAGACTCTATAAAAAAACCAACAAAAAATTCACGGGCAACCTAACTTATTGCAAGAATCCTCCTAAATCGTCACATGATTTTAACTATCCATCAATCGGGGTGTCCAACATGAATGGAGGTTTATCGGTGCATCGAACTGTTACATACTATGGTGAAGGTCCAACAATTTACTATGCACAACTAGAATATCCAAGTAATGTAAATGCCACAGTTATACCGAATGAGCTCAAGTTTACAAAGTTTGGGGAGAAGATGTCTTTTAGGATAGATTTCACTCCTTACAAGAGTAGTAATGGAAGCTTTGTGTTTGAAGCGTTAACATGGTTCAATGGCATCCACAGGGTTAGGAGTCCCATTGCCCTTAATGTGGTTTCTGTGGGGGAATGAGTGAACCTACAACACTTAAATTTTTAAGATTTATAATTTGATTAACATGAATTTTATTGTGTTTAAGTAATATGAGAGAGAGAGAGAGAGAGAGAGCTCATTACAATGTATGCTTCTAGTTTGAATATTTTGTTATTCGACATATGCAATTTGTTTTTGAATCATTTGTTGAAAAAAATAAACTTGTTTTAGGGTTTTATTATGTTAGTAATGTGTCTTAATAAGGTGTGTTAGTGGATTAGTGGTATGTTAATATGATATGTGGTGGGTGAGTGAATTGTATTGAAGATGAGCTAATTCTCCAAGAAGTGGAGAAAGTGGGTTAATATTTAAGGAGTTACAAGAGTTAGTGGAGGTAGTGACATATTAATGCAAAGTTATGAGCTAGTAAGTTTGATATCCATATAAATAGGAAATATAGTCTATGTTAGAAGTAAGTGTTAAGCAAAAAAAATGTTAGAAGTAAGTGAAGTTGAGTAAAAGTTTAAGAGTATAAGTTGAGTGTATGTGTTTTATAATCAACTCAAATGAATTTTTTTTTTTTTGAGTTTTCTTGTCCTTTTCTATTTTCTTCCATTTTATTTCAAGTTCTCTTGATTTCAACAATGTGGTATAGAGTGATTTTTTAACAAAAGTAACATTGGAGTAATTCCAACATTATTTAATAGATGTGTTATAATTAAACCTTTACCATTCTGTTTCCTTTGTTTTTGAAGAAAAACTGGAGGAGATTCTAGACCGACAAGTGTGACGAAAAAATGATGTTTATAGGTCAAATCTTCGGAGTCTTATACATTTTCTAATTTTATGTATGTTTAAGGATGAAGAAAATAACACTTTTTCCAATTTTATTTTACCATATAATGTTCTATGTTGTTGAAGAACATCATTCTTGCAAAATATGCACTATTTTCTCATATGTGTACAAAACCAAACCAAACAAGTGTGTTATTTTGTCCTTCATATGTGACAATAGATTTTTTTTGACTTGGGTCTCATTTGCTTTGTAATTGTCCAAACATTTATAAATATCAAAATGACATAAACACACACAAATGCGTGATCATTGAGGTGAATAATGCATGATTTGTATTCTAGTTGATTACCATTACATGAAATTGTGAAGTACAATAACAAATGGGGGTCAAGGTGTAATTATAGGAATCAAAGGGTAAAAAATGGCAAAATACTATTTTTAGGCAAATGTCTCTACACTACTTAGAGTATTCCAATTTTTTTGTGTAGTTAGTGATAACTTATTACCAAATTTTGTTCAAGTTATAGGGTCTAGTCTTAATAATTTTCTCAAGACCCCTCGAACGCTACAGTATCATCTAACAATACCATCAACTTCGTATGAACCAATAGTGGGTGAGCCAGGTTGAGTATAGTGGTGGCAACAAGTATTAGTGGGTGGGTGGTGGGTAAAGGTGGTGTGGACGGCAATGGGGAGTGATGGGGGTGGTAAATGATAGTGGGATAAATATAAAAAATGGTATAATAACAGAGATTTAAATAACCTCTTTCATTAAGGGTATTTTTGTCAAGAAATTTTGATGCGCAATACAATAGAACCTTCAAAGGCAGTGTTCAATTCAACATCTAAGGAAAAGAAAATTTGGACTGCAGAACCATCTCCATAATGAATCACAAATTCACAATCCATTAATATATCAATATGTATTGACTTTATCATCATCAATTTACAAAACTTGATTCAATTTTAGAAAATTTGGTTATGCCCTCACGTGTTTTTTTTTAATCGTCGCTGAAAGGCTTCACAAAAAAGCTCCCGCCAACTTATTTTTGGTTCGAATGGTGGTGCAAAATGATGTTTTGCACAAAAGTAGTCAATCTATAATTAGTGTGGAAATATATGGTGTTTCAGGGTTTTGGAGAAAACCTTTAAAATATGGAGAACTATTATGGTTTAATAGCTGGGAGTGCTGCAGCAGCCCTTGGAATTCCCCCCACAAATGCAAGGTATAGTCTATTTTTCTGAGAAAATTTTGGCTTCAACCAGCTCTAAAATGGAAATGTTTCTAAAATGGAAATGTTTCGAAAAAGAAATAAAAAGCCAAAAAATTCTAGAATTTTATTTTGAAACGTTGAAAGAAAGTTCTGAAAACATTATGGAATCACCAAAGCTACAGCAAAAATGATTGAAACAAAATAAAATTTTGATACTTGCTTCGTTAGTTAGTAATCAATGTACTATTAAGGATATCAAAAAAATATTGAAATGAATACTACCATAGTTGTTGGTATTTTATGATACTACGTATTTGCGAGTACGCAATACGCATTTTATAATGCATTTCGATACAATAAAAATACAATACACAAAATATCAAAACGCCCTCGTTTCGAAAGACTTTTTCTACCTAAACAATGGAACAACATTGTTTCCCCAATATGTTGTTTTAATTTTTTGGTTTTACCTCAAACAAAACTATCAATCATCTCATTCTCTCATGACCCACTTTTTGTTTTTCCTGAATCTTATTCTTCAGACAAAATGCTACATACATTTCGATCTCTGTACTGTAGACAAATGATTATTTATCTTTTTATCTCTATTTGACACACATATCACATGAAATGATAAGTGAGTTGAAATGAAATTTATATTACTTCAGACACAATATGTTTAGGTATGTGTATATGTATGTGTGTGTGCATGTAAACTTAAGTTGGAACGTATTTTACAAGACACAATACATTATGATATATGATATTATTTTTTAAAATTAATACACATTCTGATATATGTTTTGACAACCATGAATACTGCATGACAACCTCCACCCCTTTTATTCAAGAACTCCCATCTTTGCCCTCAAAGAACTCTTGGGGCCAAAAAAAGAAAAGAAAATGCCTGAAAGTGACTCATTTTTATGAACTTTATTTTATAGTCTTGCGATTGTTCCTCCTTTTTTTCAGCTTCTGCAAGAACAATACGCTAGATCCTACCTTAATTAAGGGGAAGATTGTGGTTTGCACAACTAAGTTGCTTACTGACAAGTGCGCAAAAAAGGCCATTTTTTGAAACAAGGTGGTGGTGTTGGGATGATACTCATTGATCTAGTGGCCAAAGAAGTTATCTTTCAGTTTGTAATCCATGGTAGTGTTATTTATCCAGAAGCCGCAGGAGAGCTTCAAGCATATATGGCCACAAAAAAGTAGGTTCCAAAGCTTTTTGCTTTCGATTTAAAAGATGGAGACACAAATATAATTGCATTGAAATTACGAGTTATAGTTCTATACCAAGGAGAATAGATAGTTATTCAACATTATGATTCTTTGGTTATATATTTCAGGGATCCTGTGGCTAAGATCTTCCCAACACAGACAGTTCTATTTACCAAACCCACACCAAGAATGGCTGGTTTCTCTTCAATGGGTCCAAATATTATAACACCAGACATCATCAAAGTAGGTTCTGAAAGAACTTAAAAATAGTTGCAAAGTGTCGTACCATTATTGATAAACAACATTTTGTGCCTGTGATGAATTTGATGAACATCAAACTCACACAAATCCGACCTAATAGCTGTAATTTTTATTTTTATTTTTTTGCAGCCTGATATTACAGCACCTGGGGTGAATATTTTAGCAGCATGGTCTCCAGTAGCAATTGGAGCCACAGCTAGACGCACACTTGACTATAACATAATTTTTGGTACTTCTATGTCTTGTCCACATGTTTCTGCAGTGGCTGCTATTATAAAGTCATGGCATCCTTCTTGGAGCCCAACAACAATAAAATCTGCAATAATGACAACAGGTAAGTTCATAAACTAAATCAGATCTTTTTTTTTTCTTTTTTTCTTTTTTTTTGAAGGTTAAGCATCAATATTGTTATTACTAGTTGTTTCTAAGTTTCACATCTTATTCCTGCCAACGACAGTCCTAGATAACACTGGAAACTTCATTAAAAGCAATCCCCGTGGCGCCTCGACCACGCCTTTTGACTATGGATCCGGGCACATAAATCCAGTTGCAACCATGGATCCAAGACTAGTATATGATTTTGATTTGAGTGACATTGTGGATTTCCTCTACAGCATTGGTGCAAGCTTTACACAACTAAAAAACCTCACTGGCAAGCTAACTTATTGCAAGAATCCTCCTAAACTGTCAAATGATTTGAACTATACATCAATTGGGGTGTTCAACATGAATGGAAGTTTATCGGTGCATCGAACTGTCACCTATTATGGTGAAGGTCCGACAATTTATCGTGCACAACTAGAATATCCAAGCAATATAAATGTTACAGTTATACCAAATGAGCTCAAGTTTGCAAAGTTTGGGGAGAAGATGTATTTCAGGATAGATTTCACTCCTTACAAGAGCAGTAATGGAAGCTTTGTGTTTGGAGCTTTAACATGGATTAATGGCATCCACAGGGTTTGAAGTCCCATTGGTCTTAATGTGGTTTCTGTGGGGGAATGAGCGAATCTACAAACACTTAAATTTTTAAGATTTATAATATGGTTAAGGCCTCTGAATTTTGTTGTGTTTAAGTAATATAATATAGTTCATTACAATGTATGCTTCTTGTTTGAAAATCTTCTTTTCCGATATGCAATTTGTTTTTGAATACATATTTTGCTATTGGGACCGACAAAATTGCCATGATTTGCTGATTTAACAAAGTTTTTGTAAGGATGAAGAAACTAACACATTTTCCAATTTTATCATGGCATATAATGTTCTATGTTGTTGACGAACATCATTCTTGCAGCACATTCCCTATTTTGTCATTTTGTGTACAAAACCAAACCAAACAAATGTGTTATTTTGTCCTTCGTATTTGACAGTAGATTTTTCTTTATTTTTGTCTCATTTGCTTTGTAATTGCCCAAAAATTTATAAATATAAAAATGACATAAAAATACACACAAATGTGTGTTCATTGAGGTGAAAAAAGCATGGTTGTATTATAGTTGATGACCAGTACATGGAATTGTGCATTACAGTAAATGGGGGTCAAATTGTAATTATAAGAATCATTGGGGAAAGAATGACAAAATATTGTATTTAGGAAGTGTGTGATTGTTTCCACCGACAAAAGATCACAATACAAATTATATAGCCTTGCGTTTTATGGTGTAATTGGAAAGTTGGTGGATTCACAACCCAAACTCAGCCATGAATTGACAATGCTATATAGTCAAGAACCGAAGCTTTCATCTTCCACCTATCAAATTTTAGCAATAGTGAAACAATTAATTTTATGGTAAAGTATTACATTCAACAATTAAAATTTGGGGTAAATTATACTTTGACCCCTTAAACCATGACTATTTTTTTATTTTACCCCATCAACTATTGAATTTTTCACATTGCCCCTCAACTATTTTGATTATTTCACAATGCCCTAATCGCAAACGTTAGTTATTTTTTTGGATGAAAATTGCTAATGTGTTGAAGCAAAGTGAAATAAATTATATAGTTCAGGTGGACTAAGTAAAATTATTTTTTGTTAAATATGTCATGGATGATAGTAATTAGGACAATATGAAACTATTCAATATATGTTCTGTTTTGCAGAGCTATTGCAACTGTGAGAATGGATGTGTTATGCGCATGTGGGAAGAAGGTGGTGAATGTGACACTTTGGAAGAATCACAATCCTGGAAGAAGATTTTTCACTTGTTAAAACCAAGGGTGTGGATTTTTCTCATGGTACGACCCCCTAATGTGTTCGTGTGCATGTCAAGTAGTTCCTGGTCTTCTCAAAAAATTAGATATGCTGGAAGTTTAGGAAGCTAGTCGTAGATCAAGAAAGAGCATATATGTCGAACGATGTGAGATTTAGGAGGGAAAAATGCCGTCGACAATTTTTGTTTCCTTCCTCTGTCCTCCATTTTGGTCACGTGAACAACACACTGTTTGGACTATTTTACATTTTGACGAAATGTAGATGGAAGTGCCTGATTGCATTGATTGCAAAAGTTGGACGGCTAAATTGAAAAAAAAAAAAATTTTTGGAGACTTAATTGATGCAAAGAATATGGCTGTCTTGAACTGCACCCTATTCTGTTTTTCAAGAACACAATATTTGCAAAAATTGAGCTTGCATGTCTTGACACCCTTCAATAGATTTTTCTTATGAAGTTCTATCATCCCACGCTCACTCATATGACCCAATCGCATATGCCACAAGACTGTATTATCTGATTCAGACTCTATAGCAGCAACTCCACCTACAATTGTAGTACCCAGCAGTCTATAAATGTTTCCTACTACTTTCTGTCCCTTCATCACTGTCAGCATGCCTTTACTTACTTTCATTACTCCACTTATAGATTTGTAACTATAACCATTACAATCCAAAGTGCCCAATGAAATCAAATTCTTCCTTAGATCCGGTACATGTCTAACATCACACAACGTTCTAACCATACCATCAAACATCTTAATTCTAATATTTCCTATTCCAACAACTTTGCAAGATGCATCATTACCCATCAGAACAGAACCAGAATTTACTGACCTGTAGGTGTCAAACCAATCTTTGTTGGGTGTCATGTGATAGGAACATGCTGAATCCATAATCCAAGAATCTGTTAAACGATCTGAACTAGATAAAACAGAAAGCATATCTCTGTCACCACTCTCTGAATCTTCTTCTTCCACTATGTTTGCAGACTTTGATGCACCCTCTTTGTTCTCTGAATCCCCTTTCTTTTTCTCTGGACAGTCCCGTTTAAAGTGCCCCTTTTTTCCGCACTTGTAACACGAGACAGAGACGTCCTTCTTCTTCTTCCTCGACTTGGACCGGGCTTTATTGTTACCCGATCCATTCCGAGATTTGCTTCTTCCACGTTCCTGGTTACCTTTCACCACAAGCCCTTCACCTTGTGAAGCAGCCTCATCACTGGCTTTCTTCCGCTGATGAAAACCTAATAGAGCACCTGTGACATCCTCCAATTCGAGGGTTTCTTTCCCCCACATCAGAGTCGTAACCAAATTCTCGTACGTAGGAGACGCCGGTAGGGAATTCAGCAACATCAGCGCCTTGTCTTCTTTTTCGAATTTCACATCAACTCGCTTCAGATCGCTGATGATCTGATTGAACACGTTGATGTGTTGGGTCAAATCCGAGCCCTCTGACATCTTAAGACCATATAGTTTCTGCTTAAGATAGAGCTTGTTCGTCAACGACTTGGACATATACCGACTTTCTAGTTTCAACCAAATTTTCGCCGGTGATTCCTCATCCATGACGTGATACATCACTTCATCAGCCAGACAAAGCCTAATAGTCACCACAGTCTTCGCTTCCAATTCTTTCCAATCCATGTCGTCCATTCCTGCCAGTTATTTTCCGTATAATGCCTTCACCATGCCCTGCTGCACTAACAAGTCCTTCACCCTCCTCTGCCATAATCCGAAATTCTCAGTTCCGTCGAACTTCATGATGTCGAATTTTGTAGAGGAAATCCCAGACATCGTAGTCTAGCTCTGATACCAATTGTTGTGATCGTGCAGCAATTATGGTGAATAGTAAAGAATCAAATAATTAAGAAAGCAGGAGAAAATAACACACAGAGATTTACGTGGTTCGGCAATGTGCCTACATCCACGAGAGCGAGGCCGTTCACTCTCGTGGATGTAGGCACATTGCCGAACCACGTAAATCTGTGTGTGTTATTTTCTTCTGCTTTCTTAATTGTTTGATTCCTTACTATTCACCATAATTGCTGCACGATCACAACAAGATTGGAATTGTTATTCCGAAACATTTGAAGCATTGCAAAAAATTCCGAGACATCCCAAAACATGAGAATTACAATTTTTCACCACTGTGTCATCTTGGTTTCCACACAAAACAAAATTTTGATACATGCTTGCATCATTAGTTCATGGTCAATATCCCCTTAAGGACATGCAATAACATAGGAAATAGTGGTTCTATGACAATCTCCACCCATTTTATTTAAGAACTCCCATCCTTGCCCGCAAGAAGCTATTGAAGAAGTGACAATTGCCCAAAATTGACTTGTTATTTATCTTTTTTTTTTCACCTTCTGCAAGAACAATACTCTAGATCCTACCTTAATTAAGGGGAAGGTCGTTGTGTGCACAATTGAGGTGCTTACTGAAGACCCCACAGAAAAGGCCATTTTTGTGGAACAAGGTGGTGGTGTTGGGATGATACTCATTGATCCAGTGGCACAAGACATCAGCTTTTAGTTCGTAATCCCAGCCACAGTTATTTATCAAGAGGCAGCCGAAGAGCTTCAAGCATATATCGCCACAGAAAAGTAGGTTTCAAAGCTTCTTTCTTTGGTTTTCAAGGACTGACAGCCAAAGATAGCAATATTGAAAATAAGAAGAATAATTCTACATTAATAAAATTAATGAGTTGTGCATCATTATAATTCTTCGGTTAGTACAGGAATCCAGTGGCTAGGATCTTCCCGACTCAAACAGTTCTATTTACTAAACCCGTTCCAAGGATGGCAGGGTTCTCTTCAATGAGTCCAAACACTTTAACACCGGACATCATCAAAGTAGGTTTTACAAGAACTTGATAATATTTGAAATTTGATTCTCATACATGATTCTCATCACATCAAAATCCATAAATTCTACCTGATAGATACGATTCTCTTTCCTTTTCTTTTTGCAGCCCGATATTACAGCACCCGGGGTTAATATTTTGGCAGCTTGGTCTCCAGCAAACACTGAACTCACCGCTGGACGAACACTTGACTATAACATAATTTCTGGTACTTCCATGTCTTGTCCCCATGCTTCTGCAGTGGCTGCAATTATAAAGTCATGTCATCCTTCTTGGAGCCCAGCAGCAATAAAATCTGCAATAATGACAACAGGTAAGTTCTTCAACCTTACAAATCTTTTTTTCCCCAACAGGTTGAACAGCTATATCGTTCTCACTAGTTTTTTCTAACGTTTGTCTTATTCCTGACAGCTACAGTCCTAGACAACACTAGAAACTTCATTAAAAAAAATCCCAATGGCACCCAAACCACGCCTTTTGACTATGGATCTGGGCACATAAATCCAGTTGCAGCAATGGATCCCGGACTAATTTACGATTTTGATTCCAGTGATATTATCGATTTCCTCTGCAGCACAGGTGCAAGCTCTGCACAACTGAAAAACCTCACCGGCAAGCTAACTTATTGCAAGAATCCTCCTAAACCGTCATATGATTTTAATTACCCATCCATTGGGGTATACAAGATGAATGGAAGTTTATCGGTGCATCGAACGGTCACATATTATGGTGAAGGTCCAACAATTTATTGTGCACTACTAGAATATCCAAGCAATGTAAATGTTACAGTTATACCAAATGAGATCAAGTTTGCAAAGTTTGGGGAGAAGATGTCTTTTAGGATAGATTTCACTCCTTTCAAGAGTAGTAACGGAAGCTTTGTGTTTGGAGCTTTAACATGGAGCAATGGCACCCACAGGGTTAGGAGTCCCATTGGCCTTAATGTGCTTTCTGTGTAGGAATGAACGACTGTACAGTACTTATATCTTAAGATTTATAATCTAGTTAACCCCTTTGCACATTTGTTGTGTTTAATTAATGAGAGACAGAACAAGTACACAAATATGGCTAATTAAAATGTATGCTTTCTAGTTTGTAGTTTCTGTTAATCGCTATATGCTATTTGTTATTGAACAATTTAGTAGATGTGCCATGGCCAAAACAATACCATTAGCCTCCTCTGTTTCTCAAGTTTAACTAGAGGAAATTCCAGACCGCTAAGTGTGACAGAAAGTTACGTTCGTAGGTGAAATTTTCTGGAAACAGCAGAAAATGGATTCCTTTATTTTATATTTGCACACCTCAGATTTTGTGGCTGCCTTTTAGTACGTACAGATGAAGAAAATAACATATTTGCAAAATTTCAGCATGGCATGTAATGTTTTACAGTTTCCATGTCTTCAAGAATGTCATTCTTGCCACGTATCCATTATTTTCTCATCTGCATAGTGCATACCCAACCAAACAGATGTGTTATTTGGTTCTTCATATGTGCCAAATGCAAGATCATTAGGGTGAATAAAGCATGACTACACCATGATTGATGACCTTTAAATGACCATTACAAGAATCTGTGAAGTGCAAATCAAAGTATAATTATAAGAATCAATGGGTGGAAAGAATTGTTTGAGCACCCAACTCAAAACTAATGGGTGACGAGGCTCCTTAAGCATGTAAACAAACTTTAGATGACCCAAATTATTCAATGTATGGTACCAACTCTCTTTACACCTTCCCTCACGTGGGACCCAGTCAAACAAATAGATAAACATGCATGCCACAAAATTCAAATGGTAAAAAGATAAAAGATTTCACCTACTCGTTAGCCTAGGCCAAACTCTGATAACATCTTAGAACAACTCTAAAATAATTGAAAATGAGTGGCACGGCCTTATAAGTAGAGTAAGGGTGTCAAATATGTCAGATTAAATGATTACGTGTCGGGTAAATAGGTAAAAAATCTCAATATGAGCACGACCCGTTATGTCGAGTAAACAGGTAAAAAATCTCAATATGAGCACGACCCGTTTAATAAACGGGTAACTCAACACGACTCGTTTCACCCGTTTAATTTTAAAAAAATTATATTAATAATTTTTAATACTCCACTTTTTTTATTGCCAATTGCATATACTTCAAAAAAGAGGAATTTTAGTCAAATCTCATAAATATAAAACTTGAAGGTTTAAAAAAAAAAGCAAGAGGCCATTGTTTTTTTTAGGCGACTCAACTCTCTCCATCTCCTCTCATTTTTTAATGTGGGACAAAAACAAAAAACTTTGTTTGCCTTTGTCAGAAGTGCTCATCATCTACTTTACTTTTTTTTTTCTTGCTAATTTTTTAAAATAATTATTTATTTATTATTATATTAATTTTATTTAAACAGGTAAACATGTGATAAACGGTTTGACAGATCTCACCCGAACATGATCGTTTATTAAACGTGTTTGGCGTGTCAACCCATTTATCACTCAAACCTGTTTAATTCGTGTCGATTCAAATCAGTTAATCGTGTCGTGTCAAATTTTAGCAGCCCTACTTTTAAGCATATAAACCAATCATGAGTCGCCCTAGTTATCCCATGCAGGATTCAAGCTCCTTTATGAGAATGATAAAATGAATAAAAGTTGCAAGTGATGGTGAGGTGAAATTGAGTGAAAGTGTCTTGTGGTGGAAGGTTGTGTGAACCTATGTCCTATAATGCCCTCAAATAGGTGTCTTGGTCATCGTAAAATACCTCACACGCATAGATGTGTTGCTTTACTAAATGAAAGTAAAAAAAGAAAAGGAAGAAAAAGGGAGATCAAGGGAGGTGGAGCGTGTGTTGTGTATTTTCTTTAGAAGACAACATGAGAGAATTAGGGAGGAAGTCATGGAAAATAAGAGTGACTTCTTAATACTCTTAAAGCGATAGACAAAGAGACCATTACCACTAGGTAGGAAATTGATTGAAGTGCAGATCTTAATCTAATGATATTATTTTAACCAAACAAAATCAAGGAAAAAACTAAGAGAATTATAGAGAGACCGAGAGAACAAAATGCATTTGATCATTGTGCAACACTCTAGGGGGCTATGTTTGCCTTTCTATGGGTTTGGGGAATGGCAATAATACTACCCGTGATTTTTTTGATAACTCTCAGCCCTTATGTCAGTTTTTCTTTTGTTTAGTTTGTTCTCTTACTTCAATGTGCTTTATTTTATAATATGCATTGTCATTGGTCTGTAATTGAATGCTTAGTGCCCAATTACGACTGAATTTTTGGTTCCACGCTCTGTGATAATACCTATCAAAGAGTTATTTACTAGTCAATGACAATTTTAAAACAAATTTACTAATATACTATATTTTTAAACTTATTTATCAAATTATAATATTTTAAAACTCGGAATTGCTGATCCCGCTTTTTAACAAAAGTGGGATCAACAACCTTGTTTTTATTAAATACCCATCAAACAGACCTCACGTCAGCCTCTCTCTTTTCTCTTACCCACTTCCGTCTCTCTCCATATATCTCCAAATGGAAGACTCCAAGTGCAACTCAAACTGAAGATCTGGTCTCCAAGTGCAAGGCTCCAACTTCCGAGTGCAGCTGAAACTCCTACACTAGGACCAGATTTTCATTTATGTTCAGATTCTATCAAGCAATTCCTTCTACTAAGCACCAAAACCTTTACATTATTTCACAATCATCCATCCAATCACTCACATACACACACATCCATCAAACACCCATCACCCACAGTCCCACACCCCTCACCAAAACCGGTCCAATTCAACACCTTTCCCAGCCCGGATCCACCTCCACCACTGCACCTACAGATGGATCCAACAAACAGACCCTTCCACAGTTCTACTCCTTCCATTTTCACCACCTTCAATAACCTGAGAGTGTGATTTTATGTGGGTGTGGAGAAATACTTCATTAATTTTTCTTACCTAATGTTTCACAAAAAATTAGAAGGGGTGATCATTGAATATAAAAATGGGGATTGAAGAAGCTGCTAATATTTGAAGAAAAATATAAGATTCTTCAATCTGTTCGGCCGATTTGTGTGTGTATGAGAATATTTGTGTTTGTGATTATTACGAGAGAGAAAGAGAGAGAGATGAGAGATGGCAAAAAAGTCTTCACCTTGGACCACATAATAGACGTGTCTGCGAGATGGCGAAGAAGGGAGAGATGTTGATTTTGCTTTATTAAAAAACGGGGTTCTTGACTCCGCAATTTAAAAAGTGTTATAGTTTAGTAAATAAATTCAAAAATGTCTTTCATTGGTAAATATATTTTTGTTGGATATATAGCAGCAGCTTAGTTTATTAGAACTTATTAAATTTTCTCTTTATATCTTTTTATCCTTATTGTAATTTTCATTGGCTATATATATACAGAACTCTACACTTAGTTTGTATCCTTTTAACTCATACATATTCCTCTTCTTGGTATCAGAGCCAAATCCTAACCCTAACATCCATCATAATCAATCCACAGCTACAACCACCTAGCTGCCACCACAACTCCTCACCGACAGCAACCCAGTCACCGCCACAGCCAACCACCTTGCTGCCTTACTGCCCAGCCCCTGCATCCAAAAACAGAGAAACCATCTCCATAAACCTAGTAACTACGACAAGCAAGGCAGCGACCAAGACCCAACAGCCCACTACCCACCTACTAACCACCGACTGCAACATATACCTCCAATCCACTGCCATCACCGACATACCATCACCGAACAATCGACTGACCCAAAAACATATACTATCACCGACATACCACCAGCCACTACCAACCAAAACCCAACAACCGACTGACCAACAATACCGTCACCACCGACTGCAACATGTAACATATAACCCAAAACTCCAACACCCAGTCACTACTAGCCAAGATCCCACTACCAGCCAACATATACCCATAAAACAAACGACCCATATACCAATGACCCACTGTCGATACCCCACAAACAAAACCCAAAAACAAACCAGCAACCCACTACCCAACAAAACCTAGCAACACCGACTAACCCAAAATCAAACCCGCGACCTACTGCCCAATCCAGCGAACCAGCCTACTGTTGGGACGCATTCTTCGTCACAACTTCGTGTTTTGTCTTCGTACGCTTGATTATTTGGGATTGTAGGACCTTTTAAGAGGGGTTGAATCGTCATCTCCGTTGATATGATTTTGATACAGTAAATTATTTATTTATATATTTTGGATTTCTGGGCACCATAACCTGATTATTTGGGAGCTTTTTGGACTTTCTTTATTTGTCGCTACTGTTCGACAAAGGTATATTGTTCTTCCTTATTTTATTTCTCTATTTATCTTAGAGTTGTTTTTCTGTCACGGGTGCTCTAGTATTGTTGTTGATATGCCTACTACTGAGGGAGTTGAGACCCCTACCATTGAGACATTTGTTAGTACTTCCACCGGGTATAGGGGTCGACAGTGCTCGGCCCAGCGCCGTCATGGTACCCCACATCAGTGTAGATATGGGGATTCTCGTCAGTGTGATTATTGTCGCCGACTAGGACATCTCAAGGTTACTTGTTGGAAGCTCTATCCGGAGCTTAAGCCGCCTTCTCGTAGTCGTACTGCTGCCATTGGTAAGGCACCACCACCTACAGTCATTGCTCCTGCTACTACTGCTACTACTCCTCCTTGGAAGAGTGATATGGATGCTATCACTTTTCGCTTGGATATACTTATGGCAGCCTTGACTTCTCGAGATCTGACTACTACTGCTGCGACTACTACAGGTATACCTTGTGTCTTTCATACTTACGCCAGTCCGTTCCCCTTTGGATGCTGGACTCGGGTGCTAATGGTCATATGACAAGTGAGGCCCATCATTTCACCTCTTTTGACGAGAAGTTACACACTCAAGTTCAGTTAGTAGATGGTACACATGCCCCTATTGTTAGTAGGTGTACAGTCCGTCTCCCAAATGG